GCATGTATATGTGCTTTTTTGAGCAGGGGGATCTCGCGGGAGCTGCAGGATTTCAGTCCTTCACGGCGTAGTGTATTACCAATTGTTTTCTTGGTGACTATGGTCCCAGCTGCCTTGAGATCATTGACAAGATCCTCCCGTGTAGTTCTGGGCTGATTCCTCACCGTTCTCATGATCATTGCAACTCCACGAGGTGAGATTTTGCATGGAGCCCCAGGCCGAGGGAGATTGACAGTTCTTTTGTGTTTCTTCCATTTGCGAATAATCGCACCGACTGTTGTCACCTTCTCACCAAGCTGCTTGGCAATGGTATTGTAGCCCATTCCAGCCTTGTGAAGGTCTACAATCTTGTCGCTGACATCCTTGGAGAGCTCTTTGGTCTTGGCCATGGTGGAGAGTTTGGAATCGGATTGATTGATTGCTTCTGTGGACAGGTGTCTTTTATACAGGTAACAAGCTGAGATTAGGAGCACTCCCTTTAAGAGTGTGCTCCTAATCTCAGCTCGTTACCTGTATAAAAAACGCCTGGGAGCCAGAAATCTTTCTGATTGAGAGGGGGTCAAATTCTTATTTCACTCATTAAAATGCAAATCAATTTATAACATTTTTGACATGCTTTTTTCTGGATTTTGTTGTTGTTATTCTGTCTCTCACTGTTCAAATAAACCTACCATTAAAATTATAGACTGATCATTTCTTTGTCAGTGGGCAATCGTACAAAATCAGCAGGAGATCAAATACTTTTTTCCCTCACTGTACATATTAAGGTGTCATCAGTCATTTGGGAGGTAGCCAGAGCACGCGGAGACAACCCACGAGGGGAGGAAGTCACAACTTTTCAGTATGCAGAGGGAACAGACGAGGTTCAAGTTCGTTGTAGCGCCCCTTGTTGGCGAGCCAGGGACTGGCTCTTTGCTCGACGCCCATGGGAAGGGAGTCTCACAACATCTGTGCGATCCGCCAACCCTCGCCTCCACAGTGCTGGATTATGGGCCTGCACAGCCACCAACCAACCACTCACCTAATAGGCCTCTCTACGCAGACCAGGGACACGCCTTTTTATATATACACTGCCAATCAAACCGAATAATCATAATAACAATGGATTTTCCAAAGTGGAAAACAGAATTCTAGATTTAAAGCTTTCGTGACTGCTAGGATCCATACTCTTTGGTTCTATTGGGTAAAGTCACGTAGGTGAAAATAAAATAACAAAAAAATCAACAAAAAATCACGACGTTTCGGCCACAACACAAGCGGCCTTCATCAGGTGAAGGGACGAGACTGTCAGGAGGACAGCGCTGGAGTGGAAGTGTTTTTCTTCTCACACAGCTTAAAGGTCGTGATCTGAGCGTGGCTTCTTCCACTCCAGCGCTGTCCTCCTGACAGTCTCGTCCCTTCACCTGATGAAGGCCGCTTGTGTTGTGGCCGAAACGTCGTGATTTTTTGTTAATTTTTTTTGTTATTTTATTTTCAAAAACGTGACTTTACCCAATAGAACCAAAGAGTATGGAAAACAGAATGCCACATTTACGGACGACTTTTAAGATGACGGAACGCCGTGCAGTCACAGGTGGCCCAGGTGGATGTAATAAACTCGCTGCACTTGAGAATCCGGTGGCTCGATCACGAGCAGCGGCTGAAACTACCGATTCGAAACATACATTAACAATGGCCATGATGGACAACCGTCATAGCCATTATGAATCCCGTGTGTGTCGGAGAGAAATAGAGAGATACGCCTAGCCCCAGGGGCCCAGCTCTCAGAACACCATCCTTGAACGGTCTTCACGTGTTAGCACGAACCAGCTCTGGGCCATTACAATAGCTTCACCTCTTCTGGGAGCGCAGAGGCCCTCCTTGAGAGCGAATGTTTGATAATGGAGTCCATTACATCATCAAGACCACACACTCCCCGGCCAGTGATTTATTACACAAACAATGCTGAAACACAAGACAAAGAAAGACCCCCGTATAGCCTCAACAGACTGTTGGGGCAAGTGCTGTTAGAGAGCACCTATTTTGACCAGCACGGCACACGAGGGGGTGGGTAGCCAGCAGCACGCCCGGCCGCCTTTGTCTGAGTCGACCTAGGGAAGGCCCAAGAACCAGTTCAGGTAATTGTCACTGATATTGGCCGTGAACGGGAATCGAACTCGAGTGACCGGGCTCGTAGCCCAGAGTGCTAACCGCTACACCACCGCTCTCCACACACACGCGCGAACGCACACACATTCACAGCGAGACGCAGGCAAAGAGAGAGGGAGAGAACGGAAGCGGCCGTACTCTGCGAGAAATACACCCGGGATGACACCGACACTTAATGAATGGAACGGCACTTCTGGGAGAGATGCGTAGCAGGTTCAGATGATACTGGGTCTTTTGATGCCTCTGGGGAGTAACATAATTACAGGTCCACTTGCGACACACCATTGCGACATGCTACCAGCATCGGGGATGTCAATGCAAGCGTGGCTTGTGAGTGTGCATGGTGTCAGGCGCAGCTATAATAAAAATGAGAAATATTTTTTTTGCAACTGCCTCTGTGTTGCTCATGTCCAGCGCTGCGGAATTTGTAGCGCACGTGGAGCGCGGGGTAATCGCATGCAAGCAGCAACCGGGGTCAATTATTTTCCCAAGGTCTGTGGTCCTATCGTTGGATCTGTGGTGTCAGTGTGTGTGTGTAGTACATGCCGATCATGTGCTCAGGAGAGTTTCACCGAGTCTCAAGACGTCTTCAGGAGGGTCCCCGCGGCTGATGTTTCCAGACTGCGACCGGTGTTTATACAAGACTGAGTCGACCTAGGGGAGGCCCAGGACCGGTTCAAAAGTCGCTTGCCACTGATATTCGTCGTGTCCAGGGAATCCAACTCAGGTCATCGGTTTCGTAGCACGGTTGCGCTAATCGCTGTGCCACCATCCCCCCCACAAACAAACAACAAACACACAAGCATCCACACTTACACTCATTTCTTTATAACAACTTTTTCTTCGTAATGAAGGTTTTTGGGTTAGATCGCGTTATGTGTCGCAACCCTCCACCACCCGACACGGCCAATCAGTAAAACATGTGTCACGTTAACAAAACGCCAATAAATTACTGGGGTTTTTTTTCTGTTTAGTTTATTGTCCTTGCCCCGCACCTCTGATTAGTACCGTTGGCTGCCTTACGGTGCGAAAGACGTTCAACATACATACACGCGAATTATAACTTACATTTATTCACCTTTAGGGACATTTTGCTTCAGAAATACAGAGGGCCCTGCAGTTCACAGGGGCGCACGGACCACTCACGCTTGTCGCATTCAACTCGAAATGTGCCACGAAATCCGTTGACTGCACAGACCCCACTCTGTACGCGTCGAGTACGAGCCCGTGATTAATGAGCGCCACGTATCGCTTCCTCACCTCCACGGTACGTCCATCAATCACACCCGGCACGTTACGTAACACACGACATTTAGACGGCGTTCAGGGTGTCAGCAGCCCGCCTGAAGTCTCTGGCGGCCCAACAGTCGCCACGGCTTTTCTTTTACCAGATTGATAATTGGATTAAAATAAAAATAAAAATTGACGTACGTTTACATTTTGTGGCGTGTTTTTATTTTTGTTTGCGAAACCACGGGACATGAAATACAAATTTCCCTCGCGCATTCGCTTTGTGCCTTTTGTGTTAAGGTACAGGACCCAAGACCGATTCAGATATCACTCGCCGCCACTGTTAGCCATGGTGGGGAGTCGAACTTACAGAACAATGCGATCGCAGCACAGCCCATTAACCGCTGTTCCAACTCCTCCCCCCTACCCCCCAACCTTCCCCCACCACAAATAATTATCAGTAATATTTTTCGAGTGCAATTAGTGTACGGTGAAAGTGAGGATGGGGAAGCGTGTTACGTTAGCGTAGGTGGAGCAATGGGTGTTCTCTCTCTCTCACACACACACACGCACACGTCTAATTGGAAACTCGCCGAAGAGGAGTGTGCCTGCTGCTTCTGTTGCATCCACTCACGGACCATCGTGTTCTGACCAAGTTGGCGTTTGTTAAGATCCAGTTCCCGGGTAGGAAAGGCGTGTTACAAGCGCTGTGTGATTCGAAGGGGGCAACTTTTGAGCGGGTCCCCACTGATGTTAGGCCGCACGTAACATCATCATACCCATCATAGCCATCATACCCACCATCGTCATCATACCCATGATCATCATCGTCATCATACCCATCACCATATACTGACCCTCACGGCACAACTCCATAGGTTTTTTTTTTTAGTGAGTGTAAGATCAGTTCTTGTGAGTCATGAGCTGTTGTAGCCACTGTGAATTCTGGCAGAGGAAAGGAAGTGATGGCGATGTGTGGTGACCTCAATAACGTGAACTTGATTGGCTCCCCGAACATTGCGGGGAGGGTGCACCTAGCACCCCAAACTACCCCGCGCCTCCCCCCACCGCGCGACCTTTTTGTAGAACCAATATGATCACCAGTGCAGAGGTGCAATAGTCAGCACACTGGAGCTGCAACTCAGAGGTAGGCCGGTTCGATTCCATCTCCTGGCGCGGCGGTTTAAAAAAATAGGCACATTTCTTAAATCCACCCCACTCTCCCGCCCCCACACAGCACATCGCCTCTGTGCAGCCAGCAGTATTCGTGGGTACAACGCCACAGCTGGTCGATCAGCAGACCACGTGCGGTGCGATAAAGCGTGGGTCACTGCCATAACTTCCAAGACGTTTTGGTCAGCGGGGCAGGGTTAGGCCACAAAACCCGCCGTTAATGTGGCCATCTCGGGCTGCCTCCAGTGGAAGCCCTACCACCGGCCAGCGGCTTGAGCGAAGCAATTGAAGGGCTGCCCCTTAGCTCATTTGGTATGTATCTACGTGCGCTGGCTCTCTGGCGCTCCCTCCAATGGAAGCCCTTCCACCCGCCAGCCGCTTGAGCGAAGCAATTGCAGGGCTGCGGCTGTTACCCCCCCCCCCCCGGTCTGTTAAAACTCGCGCCTCACCTTGGCCGCCACGGACGAGTTGGGCTTCTCGAGGAGGTCCCAGAGCTTCTTGCGCTTCTCCGCGCAGCACGCGCCGTCGAACACCTCGGCGTCCATCTCACGCGCCGTGTCCGCCTCGCGCCTCAGCTCCTCGTTCATCTGCTCCTTCTTCTGGTGGTACCGCGCCTGGCAGCACGACTCCAGGTAGATCTCGTCCACGCCCCAGTAGTCGAGCTCCTGGCTGAAGGAGAGGGCACACATCTCCTCCATCATGTGCAGCTTGCCCGTGCGGTAGAAGTTGAGGATGGACGTGAAGGCGCCCGGGTGACGGTCGAAGAAGTACTCGTTCTCCCCGGGGCTGTGATCGTCGCAGAGGGACGCCGCCTCTCCCTCGGCACTCGAGTCCCTGAGCTTCCCGAGCCTGGTCCGCGGGAGTCTCTCGAGGGTGCGCCACAGCACCTCGTGGCACACGCCGCCCACGTTGAGGCGAACGCGGCGGCTCAGCGGCTCTCTGGCCTCTTCTGCCGGTGATCTCGTAGCGTCTTCTCCACCACCACCACCACCACCTCCTCCTCCGGTGGGAGCGTTCACTGTGTCCGGGTGGCTACCGTCAAGCCCCTCCGGGAGGGGCTGCTTGGGAGGAGACCCACCGAGGGATGTGGTGGAGCCGCGGGTTTCCATTCTGGTGTTTGTGATGAGGACACCTCCTTCTCCTCCTCCTCTCCTGCTCCTGGTGTCTCGTGTCCTCCCGGTATTCCCTCTGCGCTCCTCTCCCTCCCTCTCTCCCTCCCCTCCTGTTCCCTGTGTTCCTGCTCTCTTTGATCTTCCTTCCTTTTGCTACCTCTTGGCTTCCTCCTCTCTCCTCCTCCCCTTCCTCCTCCTCCTCCCTTACATCAAGTCCCTCGTGAGCAAGATCTAAGAGGTCAATGAAACACAGCGAGGGTCATTCGCGGACGCGATCTGCTTGGACGCACACGCGGCCGCAGATGCTCGTCATACGATGTGATGAACGGTTTGCCCAATTCATCGTTTGATGGTTCAAACAACAATTGACGACTGCTGCATCGATGTGGAAGGTTGGACAAAGGCGAGACAATAATTATTTCGTGGACACGAGGAAGAACGCTGTACTGCACGTGTGCATTTTACGCATTGAATCCGCTCATTAAAATGCCAAGCCACATCTTACGGGTGCCACACACACAAAGACAAAGATCCCCCGTACAGCCTTTTACAGACTGCTAGTGCATGTGCTGTTAGCGAGTAGCAGCCTATGAAGGCCGGAATGGTACTCGAGTGGGTGACGGGTGGCCAGCACCACGCCCGGCCGCCTTTGTATCCCTCGTGGCGAATGTTTTACGCATCGCACCAGGTACTCATTTGAGGCTGAGTCGGCCCAGATAGATAGAATCGTCACCGGTGTTGGCCGTGAGCAGGAATCGAACCCGGGTCGCCGTCCAACGCTCTGATGGGCTACGCCACCGCTCCCCACTACCCTACCGCGTTTGTGCGTCCCTGTGGACACCAAAGACAAAGATCCCCCGTATAGCCTTAACAAACTGTAGGGGCAAGTGCTGTTAGCGAGCACCTATGAAGGCCGGAACGGTACACGAGGGGGTGGGTGGCTAGCACCACGCCCGACCGCCTTTGTCTCCCCAGTGGCGATGTTTACACACCGCACCAGGTACTCATTTGAGGCTGAGTCGACCTTGGGGGAGGAGGCCAAGGACCGGTTCAGATAATCATCGCTGGTATTGACCGTGAGCGGGAATCGAACCCGGGTCGCCAGGTTCATAGCGCAGCGCGCGCTCACCGCTACACTAGCGCTCCCCACTGTGGACACCACACACACACGCGCGTGCAAGCTCGCCGGCCTCTTCAACACAAAGGCAAAAGCTCATTCGCAGTCTAACGCGCGCTCTGCTCGGGCTGCAGTTTACAATTTTCACACTCCCCCTATGCGGCATCCCTGGTCTCTACGCGACACGCGACTCTGTGTGTGTGTGTATATCTTGGTGTTTGTGTGTTACTCGCTAACAACACTTGCCCTAACAGCATGCGTAGGCTACACGCGGGATATTTGTCTCCGTGTATCAAACTGTGTGCATCTCTGTGCGAGTGTTTCAATCTATGCACGTACGTGCCTGTGTTATCTGTGCTTTCGACCGCGTGTGTAACACGGTAAGAATATGCGAGAGCAGGCGTGCGTGATCCGTGTTCTGCCAGCGACCTTTCCACACTTCACGTAGCCTCAAGGTGCACCTAGCCTGGCACGAGCGCCGCGATGACGTTACCGCCACTTAGTGGCGAACGGCGGTTGTTGATGCTGCGCGCGTCCGTATTAGTATGTGCTGTGTGCATGTACATCGGTCTGTCTCATTGTGTCTGTGCACACACGTGTACGTGTGTGTGTGTTGTCACGTGTGTGTGTACACGTGTGTGTACGTGCATGCCGGCAGTCGTTCCTTAACAGCTCATACCCACATACATGGGTCGTTGTCCTTGTGCGTGGGTCGACGTCTTGCTGTGGAGTGTGTGTTTGCCATGCACGTGTGTACGTCTCTGTGCGCACGTGTTCGTAACGCACGTACGTGGGTTTACGCGCGCGTGTCGTCGTGCGCATACACGCGTGGAAGTGGTTCGCTCGAACAACATATTATTCAGAGCAGTCCATCAGAATAAACGAGACATCTGTGTGTGTGTCTTTGTTGCCACGTGTACTGTACGTGTGTAGAGGTCTCTCTCTCTTTGTGTGTATGAAACTGGGCAGGGAGCGTGTATTTACTAGTTGTGTATATGTACGTGTCGTTGATGTGTGTGTGTCCGTGTGTGTCCGTGTGTGTGTCCGTGTGTGTCCGTGTGTGCGCGCGTCCCTCCGTGTGCGACTCAATGACGTTATTTGTATCCGAACGTGATCCGGACATCTCCTAGGTCGACTCAGGCTGAAACGAGTGGGAAACTCATAAGCTGCGAAAGTCGTCACCCGCTGGGGAGAGACAAAGGCGGCCGTGCATGCGCACGTACGTGGTGCGAACCACACCGCCTGATTGTGCTCCGTCCCGTTCCTAAATAGATGCTCACTAACAACACCGACACTTCATAAGGACACATACAGTTTAGTCTCATAGCTAGCATGCACCGGGACACACATAGCACGATCCCAGTGATAGGAACTAATGGAAAACGAGTGGAACTCTATTATTCGTCTCTCTCTCTCGCTCCATGTTTTAACGTCCACCAGCCAATTGGTTTACAGGACCAATGTCATCCAGTGGACCCTGTTTATATGCGAACCAACTGTGGACCCGTTTTGACCTTCAGGGGTCACATCAACATTGCCAGCCTGGTGAAACAAATGCAGATACGTTGCCAGATGTTACTGTTAAGAACACTATCGAAAAGACTGAGTCCTATTCAACATGCAAAGCAATATATATTTTAAAGCAACTACATTTATCATGTGAAGCTGTGGAACATGACTGATGATGGCAAATACGTTGGACCTCCGTCTACACACGTATGTTTTAGTTCCATCAGCCTATTGGCTTTGCGAGATCAATGCAGTGGTATCAAGCAGCGTCTGTTTAATTCTCGAACCGGGATTCGATATCGAGGAGTCTTATCGGTTGAGTCGGGGGCTTTGCGAAAACAATTCCATCACCGGCGAATTGCGGCGAACATTTACGAAGAGTTTCAAGCGAGATGCGCACATTCGGAGTTTTGACAAATCGACGATATCGATGGTCTCAGCACCCACCTTGCTTCGATCACACGGCATGCATCGCCGAGTGATCCGCACGCGACCATAATTGTAGTCGGTGGTTGCTGCTGTCGTTGGTATGTAGTAGATGTTGCAGATGTCGTCGTCGCTGTTTTACGATTAGCGCGGTGTTTTCACGCCGGATCTACGGGACGCGGAGACGAGAGAGCCTCGCTCGGCTCGCTGCTGCTGGAGGCGCTGCTGTGTAGTGAGCACTGGCTTTGTACAGCGACTCCCGCCCGCCCCCGACGATTTGCTGCCGGGCGCCCGAAGAGAGACCACCTTACTACAGCCGGACCAGGCACCGAGCCAACGACGATGATGAACTCAAACGCTGCCCTGCTGTAATGATGATGCTGATGATTAAGAAATTGAATTAAACACTGCCCCTGTTGCTGATGTCGGTGATGATGAACTCATACGATGCTGATATGGTGATGATTGTAAAGAAGTTGAATTTAAAAAAAAACTGGTGCGGATGATTATACTGATAGTAGCGACTTAAGTAACGCCATTGATGATAATGCTGCGGCTGATGATGTTGATGATGGTTAACTCAATTGATGCTGCGAATGAAGAACTCTAAATTGATGCTGACACTGCTGATGATGAACTCCATTGAAAGCTCAAATTAAATGATACTGTTATTGCTGTTGATCGTTTCGCCGATAATGTTGCCGCTGTTGATAACGCTTCTGCAGCAGCAGCTGTTGCTGATTAAGATCCTGACGAAGATGACGATACTGATTACAAATAATAATTTAGCCGCACGTGCTATTCATTAGAATGCCACTCGTGATGCCAGCTCAGCTCGCCCGCCCGCCCGCTCGCTAGCCCGCCCACCCACCGCCTTCCAGTCTCTATCTACTGCTGGTCCCAGGTCCCTCCATCCGCCGATGGATAACGTTCTTGCAGACAGCGCCGCTGTCCATGGTGCTAGAACGCGAGAGACGACACCGTGCGCCGCGCCGTCTCTTCGCCGTGACACCGACTGATGTGCAAACTCCGCTTCGCTAAGACGCAGCGCCCGCAGCTGGCGACAGAGGGGAGCTGGCGTGGGGAGAGCGAGTGGGGGGCGGGAGAGAGCGCACCCGAACGAGAGAGAGAATGAGGAGGGTTGGAGGAGAGGGGAGGGCAGAAGCACGGTGATAATGGGATGGGGTGGTAGCATGATGGTGTCTGTGTGTGAGACAGAATGTGCCTGTGTGTGTCTGTGTGTGAGTGTGCGCGCGCGTGGAGAGCGGCAGTGTAGCGGTTAACGCGCTGCACTACGAACCCGGCGACCCGAGTTCGATTTCCGCTCACGGTCAACACCGGTGACGATTTTTTGAACCGGTCCTGGGTCTCCCCTAGGCTGACTCAGCCTCAAATTAGTACCTGGTGCGGTGTGTAAATGTCACCACTGGAAAGACACAGGCGTCCGGGCGTGGCGTTGGCCACCCACCCCCTCGTGTGCCGGCCTTCACAAGTGCTCGCTATCAGCACTTGCCCCAACAGTCTAATAAGGCGACACCGGGGGATCTTTGTCGTTGTCTTTGTAGATGTGTGGGAGTTACGTGGGAGCGGTAGTTCAGTGGTTAGCGCACTGCGCCGCTCATGGCCAACACGAATATCCGAACCGATTCTGGGTCTCGCCTAGGTCGACTCGGCATTGAATGATGACCTATTGCGGTGTGTAAATAGCGGGACTGCTCGTGGTGTTGGCCATCCACCTCGTGGTGTGCCACGCCGGCTTTGATAGGTGCTTGCTAGTAGCACTCCTCCCAATAGTTATCTTAGGGACATACGGGTAGTCTTTGTTGTGACAAAGGGGGGATATTGGGGAATGGGCTTATGTGTAAGTGTGATGATGGGGTAATGGAATGATAAGTCGCCTTTAATTGCTGTATATTATTGGCTCCTGGTTAAATAAAGGATACGTATTACGGGGTAATGGGATAATGTGTGCGTGCGCACGCAGGTGCCTGTTTGTGTCTACATCCATTCTCGTCGTGTTTGTTTTGCGCTCTGTATACACACAGTCAAAGATCCCCCGTATAGCCTGCATAGGCTGTTGGGGCAAGTGCAGTTAGCGAGCGTCTATTATTGCCTTCACGGGTGGGTTGCGTGTCCAGCACCACGCCGGGCCGCCTTTGTCTCTCTAGTGCTGATTGCTTACACAGCGCACCAGGTACTCGTGCAAGACTGACAATGTTATTGCCATACTGCGTTGGCAGTAATTCATAACCACAGGTCACGTACACAAAAAATGTGCTGCTGCCTCCGGGCTCTGGAGATCACCTGGAGAAGATTCCAGGCCACGTGTTGACAACGATGGCGCACAAGTGGCGACCCTTTGAATTTTTAAAGCTATTAACATGACATTTGTTATCATGTTTACAGTCTATTATCCGTTTCTTTTTCCATGAAAAAAGATAGTCCATTATAAGTGTTCAATTTATTTTTTAAAGCACCCTGTATATTATCGGAGATATAATCTCTCCGCTTAGGGCTATCACCCGCAAAGTTGACTGCTGTATAATGTTTTACTGCGAGGGCAGTATTGTTGACGAATATAAACCTGAGTCGAACTCGGGGAAGCGCAATATCGGTTCAGATATCACTCGCCACTGATGCTACCCTTGGCCGGAAATCGAATTCAGTTGCCGCCAGGTTCATAGCGCTAACCATTGCACCACCGCTCCTCCCCGCGCGCAAGCGCGCGCGCGCGCACACACGCACGCATGCGCAGGTGTGGATCATGCCGTACATTAATACTGTAGAGCAGGGGTCTCAAACTCAACTTACTTGGGGGCCGCTGGAGGTAGAGTCTGGGTGAGGCTGGGCCGCATCAAGTATTCCAAAGAAAAAATACAACTGATCCAATCTACTCAATCTTTATTAATAACAGTTCACAACATGAACGGTTCTTCAGAACATAGGCTTTTCTTACCTACTCCATGCTGCCAGAGACCTGGCAGCGCTTCCTCTTCTTACACAGCTGAGCCACATTTGGCTTGAGGGAGAAAGCAATTGAGACCCTCAGTATGGCTTGAAGATGCTCATCAGAAAGTTTTGACCTGTACTTTGACTTATTAAAGTTCATGGTGCAGAAGAGCTTTTCACACAGATATGTGCTCCCAAAAATGCACATGGTCCGCTTGAACATCCTGAAAAGTTCAGGGAAGGTGGGGGTGATGTATTTACATGCTTTTATCTCAATACCTGAGTATTTGGGATCTTATTTAGTATGGCCTTTCTATATATTCTGAGAGGTGTTTGAAAACTTTATCATTGTTCATAGCTTTTTTTGAGCACTTCGTTTTTCTTATCATTATTAAATTCATCGATCGTGTTCTCAGGTGTTTATACCTTTCACATTCATAAAGTGATCTAGATTTTCTTATTTTTGTTTACATCCTACATATCCTTCTGCTCTACCAAATCTCTCTGGATGCCATTGAGCTAACTCTGGTGTCCATGTTACTCCACCTGTCTTAATTCTTAACATCAAGTGCATTGTCTCATGTTTTATATATTTTAATTTCTTGCTCTTTTTTATTACATTGTTCTTGGTAAATTCGTTTTCTTTTGCGATTACACATATCTGTCCTTTTTCCTTGTCTTTGTTTCTCTTGTAATAATAATCTATAACTTCTTTATAATGTTCAGGTTCTAATCACTATTTGGCTTTTGTTCTTGCCACCCATCTCATGCTACTTGCTATCCATGTAATTCTTTTCCCTTTCCTATTGCAATACCATGTTGTCTTTGTTAGGTCGCTGATTACTCTTGTTGAGTCCGCCCACTTCCTAAGTCCTCTGTACCTTGCACTGGGTGACAGGATATATTTTCCTTCCACTTGGTGTCACTCCGGAATCACGTTTCAACCAAGTGACTAACGTTGCTAATTCGCGTTGACTAACTTGTCAACAAACACCGGAAGCTGTCACGAGCCTGAGCTATGGTAAAAAATATAATAATTAAAAAATAAATTAAAAATTGATGTCAAGTAGGGGGCCACAAAATATCATTCCGCGGGCCCCAATTGGCCCGCGGGCCGCGAGTTTGAGACCCCTGCTGTAGAGGGATGCGTGAGAGCGTACGTCTCAATACGCAAGAGTGCTACCGATAGTGAAGGGTTTTTTTGGGTTAGATCGTGTAAATATGTCGTTAAACCCGTCACCATCCGACACAGCCAATTAGCAAAGTTTGTCACGTAAACAAAACATGGCAATTAGTTGCTAGTTCAGCACACCTGTGTGTTGTGTCGGAGAGTAAATCCACAACATTTACAAATCGAGTATGACGTTCGCTGGTAATGACAACCAGCTTCATCAGGCGACAGCCATATCTGTGGAGACTTCCTCCTGCGTTCGTCTTAAATCGAGGGGGTAACTGTGATGTCGTCACTGTGATACAGAGCTACCTACATTTTTTTTACAGAAACGTGCCATTGCCTTGTTGCCCGTAACGTGGCCTGTGTCATTCGAGGGGGTTTCCCCAGGCAAAAAAAAACATATCCCCAACAAACTGGATAACCCGCAGAATTTGATTGCCCAGAAAGTAGCAGCTGGCTTTTTTTCAGAGCAATCGATGGGATAAAGTGAATTACTCCGTTCGCTATGCGGCCATCTGTGGGGAGATGATGCAATCAAAAAAATTGGATTGTAAAAAGCATGGGTTGTCTTAAAAAATATATACAAAATATCAACATCAGGAGCCATGGTCAATCCACTGCTGGATAAAGGCCTCTCCTAAAGCCGCCACTCTCTCTCTCTCTTGCAATCCTGCGAGCTGCGCCCATCAACGCACTACACTTGAGAGAACTGTGGAGAGACATAATTGAATTCCACTTATCGCATTTGCTTTAACCCACGATGCTCAACGGCAACGCATCACGAGTTTGTGCGGTCTTTGTATTTTGCAGCGAACCGGGGCCAATATATTAAACGCAGTGCTCTTGCCAATAGCTTCGCGTTAATTTAGCAGCATTTGATTAACCAGCCTGGCTCAGCTGACGAGTCCCCAGAAGGTCGAAACCGGCACAGACTTTGCTTGCTTAAACAAACGCTACTCGGTAATGTTGATATTTGAAGTCACGAGGCTGCCTGACTACATTCTGCACGTGGGAAGCTGGATTGCAGTTCTGCTTATATTCGGTTTATAATCACAGACGGCTGTCTGGATTTTAACCTCGGTTCAGCATTCTGATCACTGAGCCACCCGGCCATGCGTAGAATTCGCGTTATACGAATGTCAATGCTGGTAAACATTGGACTGGAAGGCCGATAGGCTGATGAACAAAAACGAATTAGGTTTAATTTTCAGGTAGACATTCTTATTTTGCGAGTTCCTACTTTGTTTCATTATGTAACTGTTGACGTTGTTGCTGCTGCGGACGAAAAGAAAATAAAACATTTGACATTTGAAGCTTCATCCGGTGGCTCACAGCAAGGTCATGCAAGGTTCTGGCTGTCGTCCAGAAACAAGCATTGCGATGAAAATGATTGAGTGAAAACGACTTTATTTACAAGCACACCGTATGCTCAGGGTCAGAGTTATAACACCGAATACGACAGTTGTACAATCACTGGCTGCCCAACGCTGCTTTGTCTCGGGCCACCAATCACAAAACATGTCATCTCGGATCTCTCTTCGCCTACGATGAGATGGTAATTAATTGATCGATGTCATTTATTTAATAACTAGAAAGCCCATTGAGATTCAATGGCCGTGCGCTGCGGATACGTGGGATGTTCAAAGTGGTTTTGTTCTCACACCGATCATCAAACTGAGGATCGTGAGTCACGGTCTCTCCACAGCTGAATGAAGTCGTCTCTATTCTATCACTATCCGCCATGGTCCTGTAATGTCCCAATTTACCTCCTGCTGATCCGATTGCTCCGTCTGTGCGGTGGTTGTCCTCAGGTATGTGCTCTCTTCCTCTGGCTGCCAATCTGCCATTCGTCTTGTCCATCGGGAATCAAACCGTCTCGTGAATTCCCCTGCCCACACCCACTCAATATTATTATAACTTTTTTTATTGACGCGGTTCTCGAAAATATAAGTCACTAAATAAAGGAAAATGCAAGCTCCTTCACTCTCTCCGAAAAAAAAGATAGAATTTGTTTTACACATCCCATCAGCCACACCGTTTTCTGGAAATTAATTCTTACAGCAGCAGTTTCGGCATTCAATATCTCA